AAGATGCTGCAGTCCCTGGCCGGCAGCTCGTGCGTGCGCCTGGTGGAGCGGCACCGCTCGGCCTGGTGCTTCGGCTTCCTGGTGCTCGGCTACCTGCTCTACCTGGTCTTCGGCGCCGTGGTCTTCTCGTCGGTGGAGCTGCCCTACGAGGACCTGCTGCGCCAGGACCTGCGCAAGCTGAAGCGGCGCTTCCTGGAGCAGCACGAGTGCCTGTCGGAGCCGCAGCTCGAGCAGTTCCTGGGCCGGGTGCTGGAGGCCAGCAACTACGGCGTGTCGGTGCTCAGCAACGCCTCGGGCAACTGGAACTGGGACTTCACCTCCGCGCTCTTCTTCGCCAGCACCGTGCTCTCCACCACCGGTAGGAGCCCGACGTGTCCCCGGCCACCCGGGTCCCCGCGTCCCCGACACCTCCCCAGGCCCCTCGGTGGAGACTCGCCAAGGGCGGGCTCCAGGGGCCGGGAGCCGGCGAGGTGGCCTCAGAACGTGACTTGGGTGTTGCCGCCCGTAACTCTTGGGAAGTGGTCCCCAAAGCCTTCGTCCGGGGTGACTAGAGGGGCTTCTTGGGCTGCGCCCTTTTTTCTGGGTCCCCGACACCCAGCCGTCCGGTTGGAATCTACGCGGTGCCGGCCGCGGCGCGGCGCGGGGATGCGGGAAACTGTCCCGAGTGCGCGCCGTCCCCGGGCCCGTCCCGCAGGCCCTGGCTGCGGAGTCCAGCGGTAATGCGCTCAAGGGTCACCTCGCGGAGGCGCCTCTCCTTTCCGCGGTGCCTCGGCATTTCGGTGGGGTAACCGAGTGACATCACTCTGCACCTCGCAGGTGACCTTTGAGCGCACAGGCCGATCCGGTTTCTCTCCTGGGTAGGGGGAGGGGGGAGGGAATGCCATGGATCCGGCAAAATGGGGCACCCTGATTCAGCAGTTTTTCAACTTTACGTGTGCGAAGCCACCTTAAACTGCCAGGCGCGCCTACCTTGCACCACTCACCTGGCGCGAGGTGCAGGAGAGGAGCGCCCCGGGGTGGCCGGGCAGGCCCCGGGCAGCGTTACTGCGCTGGACTAGCTGCGGGAAGGCAGGGTTTTCCCAGGGCTAGTGAGGCGCACTCACCTGCGTGGAGATACACTATTTATAAATTGGTATGTGGACCCTGGAAAGTGTCTCTGAGAGCGTCCAGCTCAGTCCATCCTTTTGTGCAGATCAGATCTTTGACCAGTCATCTGATCTTTGAACAATCATCTTGGCTGGCACAAGGTCACACACTTCCTAGCTGCCAGAGTCGTCCTGGAATCTGGGCCTTGTGATCTCCCCGCCAGGAATTCTGTGTCCCCCACCCCCTCACCTTGACAGGTGAATCAACTTTGTTATTTCTACTCTGCCTTCATCCCACCCCTTTCCACCTCCCAGGGTTTATTTGTTTTTAATTCCCTTGGGCTAAACCTGGTGGATTGTTTTGGTAATTATTTGCCAAGGAGTGCTAGTACTCTACCCTCTTGGATTCAGAAAAACTGGATTCAGAAATCTGGGGTGAATGACGAAATTGAAGTGCTTTAACCCTGAAATAAACAAGAAGTCTGGCTTGTGTTGTGATATTTTTTAAACTGTGTTAAACGGAGCCCTAGACAAGACAGACCTGTTATCCCACTTTTTAGCTTTCAACAGTACTCTTCAGTTTTCCTTCTACCGGTCCTGCTTCCATGGTCTGTACCTCAGCCCTGGTCCTCAGATCACTCAGAAGTCACCCAGCCTTTCCGCTGGGCATGTTTGTGATAAATTGGGAATCAGTGTTCCCTGGTCTAGTGTTTCCACTGAGCTCCAGGTCCACGATGGGTCACAGGGTTGGGTGGATGTCATGAAGCATGATGATAACTTTCAGACTCTCTAAGTGGTATTTTAAAGCTAGAACAGGAATAAGAGCAAAGTTACACAGAAAAGGACATGTCTGCTGTCCCCGGCGGGATTTCCCATCACTGGTGCAGCTCATAAGGGGATGGGTGTCTGATTATTGGTATTCAGATTGCATTGTAGTCCCTAAGAAAGTCTGTATTCATGCAAGACAAGAGTTCATTTAGGAAACCAGTGCAAGGGGCACTTAAGGACAAACTAGATGAAAAGTGTGCCTCTTGGTTTGTAAAATCAGCAAATCAATGAATTTTTGTCACTGATAGAATTGAATTTGCTAATTCAAGTAGAATTCTAACAGAATTTAGAATCTATTGTAAATCAAAGATATTCTAATACTGGTTTTGTACTGGCCCATTACTGATGCATTTGATGTTCTCTATGGTGTCAGAACACTGGTTTTGTGGCAGAGGATCGGCTGGGTTTTAGAATAAAGCTAGTGTGCTTCATTTCTAGAAAAATATTATCTGGAAAAGTACCAGACAACTCAAATGAATTGGAGCTGTAGTTCAGGCTTCTCTTTCAGGTAGCTATCAGACATGCTATAGAGGGGTGTGGGTGTGTGGGGGTGTGTGTGTTTTAACTCCTTTAGCTCTGTTGATGGCAAGTCAGAGATAGTTGTCACCCAGGCGGTCAGTAGGGTCAGGCCGTCTTGTCCAGAGTAGAGGCGGTGGGCTTTACAAAGGTCCTGCTCTCAGTGGTCCTCGGTGCCCACAGGAGCTTGGATGCATTATGTCAGGGGCTTCTCATCCCAGAAAGTACAGGCTTCCCTTTCTGGAAGGAACGGGGTGAAGTCTTAACGGTCTATTTGGAAGAAGTCTTAGGCCGGTAATTCAGCAGCGTGCATCCTGCTCTGCCAAGGATGCTGGATTATTTCCAGCAACAACCTAACGTCTCTCTACTTCCCCTTAATTACGGCATGGAGGAAGGTGCAGCCCTCTTGAACCTTTCAGAGGGAAGCACTGTATAAAAGTAAAGCTGCTATAGATGGAAGTATTTCCCACATCACTTTTATACTGTGGGGTTTTTTCAAGGATTAAGGAAACAATGCCTAAGTGGCACTTGTGGAGTAAGAAGTAATTTTCATTAAAATGATCGTTAGTAGCTGTATGCAATTTCTCGTGAACTCATTCGTTCTTAAGAACAGGTTGTCCTGTCATGTACCGTCTGTCTGCGCCTTTGCTCGCCCCCCTGCGCACAGCTTCATCGCGCTGGTGGATGTTGGGTGGAGAGACTGTGTGTGTGCCTGTGAACGTGAAGCTGCCGCTGGCTTTCGCTGCTGTGTAGATGCGGTTTCCCAGGGTGGCTTGCTCAGTCGCTGTTTCTGTCACTTGGACGCATGCTACCTTACGCCAGGATGCAGCTTTATTCCTGTTTAGGAGGAGGGGCTTTGAAACTCTTATTTAAAGTGCTCAGTAAAGGGACTTAATTAAACTTGTTTTATGCTGGCCTTTGACTTAGGTAGGGAGCTCCTGCCGTGTTGGAGGTGGGCAGTGGTCATGGGGACGCTCGGCTGATTCTTGTTGCAAATTGTTTTCAGTAGGAAAAATCTGTTCTTACCTATAGCAAGTATTTATTGAACTTTGGACTAGAAGGGGGTGAGCAAACTATGCTCCTGGCCAAATCCGACCCACCCCCTGCACCTGTGCAGCCTGAGCTAAGCACGGTTTTTATATTTTCCAATGGCTGGAAAAAATGTCAGATGAAAAAGAACATCTCCTGTCACACTAAAATTTTATGAAAATCAAATTTCAGGGCCCCTAACAACATTTTCTTGTGTAAGCCATACCCATTCGCTTCTGTGTCATTTGGTTGCTTTCCAGCCACAGTGGCAGAGCTGAGGAGCTGTGACGGAAACCATATGGCTGCAAACCCTGTGCAGGAAAGTGACCTGACCCCTGCTGTAGGATAATGCTTGGCAGGGACTCGAAGTCAGAGGAGTTCAAGTGCTTCCGTTGGACAGCCTTCTGTGAGACTGTTTAGCTGTCAGGCTCTTCCCGCTCCTTTGTAGGTTCTGTGCAACATTGAAATCATGCACTGCCACCCACAGCCGCCTCCCAGACCAGTGTGTTTATCAAAGGACATCACTAGTTTTGGGTCAGATTGATGACACTGCCTTTTTTTTTTTTTAATGGTGACAGAGCCAAACTTCACATTGGTATTACCTTATCTGAAATGTATGGTAAATAATATATTATATCTGGAACAGAAATGACAGCAGGGAGCCTGGCCAGAGTGGTTCAGTTGGTTGAGTGTCGTCCTGTGCACCGAAAGGTTGCTGGTTCAATTCCCGGTCAGGGCACAAACCTGGGTTATGGGTTTGATCCTGGCTGGGGCATGTACAGGAGGCAACAGATGTATGTTTCTCCCTCCCTC